TTATATGTTGCACTTGCAATTAATTTACCCTAAAAATAATGTACCAATAAGTAATATCAAATACAATTTCATCATTAATTTGCATAATAGTCTTACATTGGAAATTTATATTTACACTGCAGATTTATGAACAAGAATATTTTTAGAAATATTCTTAAATTCTTGACATATTATATCAATTTGTCCACTCACGTGAAGAACCTAAAATATACTTCTCAAATTCTTACAAAATTGAAAATTGTTGAACATAAAAAATATTTATTATAAAAAATATTTAAATATTAATACATAAAATTTAATATTTCTATGTGACAGTCAGTTATTACATAACAAATTGTTATTACATAACAAATATAAAGTTTAATATAAAGTATTACAAGAAAGAACATATATACATATACACGAGTACCGATGTAAATATGACAATTACCAAAGTAAACATCCATTTATAATTGCAATTGAGATTGCATTTAGCATTATATGTATATTATAAAGATACATTCAAACGTTGATTGTTGAACATCAAAAAGAAATTGCAGTTTCACAGGAAGTTGTCGTAAAGTGTTATTGTAATTTTCCATTAGAAATAAAGAAGAAATTACATAGTCGCTTAAGAGGTAAAATGCCGCAGTAATCACATTAATACCTAATGCAGTATGACAGATAAAATGATACATTTGCTTTGTCTGTCATTATATTCAAATACAAATCTGTATTAATACATTCACGCCAATCATTATCTATAATAGTCAGAATGAAGAACTCTGTAACATGTTATTTTAATACTTAACGTTTCGAATATAAACTTTATATTCTCTTTCATGAAGTATTTTATAGTACTCATATTTCAGTTATGATTTGTTTGAATATATTAAGTTATTTTAAGTTGGTTAACAAATATTAAATCAATAGTAAATGCTGAGAAACGTAATAATTTTTGTTCTTTTGACATTTGAGCAAAGTAATAACAAAACATGATTAAATCTTACTGACGATGTATCCATAGATTAGACAATTTAAATATTGTCATAGTGTATTCTAAAATTGCTGTCAGATTATCAACAAGATTTGAGAGCTTGCTGATCTTCAAATGATGAAATACTGGAAATACTGAGCAATCAGCAAGGTCAATATAAAACTAAGCCTATAAAACAGTTGAATACGGGATACCCGGCCATATGCCTAAACATTGAAGACCGATTTTTAATACCGGACTAACAGTACTTTCGACAATCATTTGTCAATAATTTCGAAAACGTAGAAAACTAAAGATTAACGTTATAGGTTAACGTTATAGGATAACGTCGATAGGTTTGTTCATTCTATAGTTGTGTAATCTTTTTCAATAAAAAATGTTAAAATAATTAATATAATTTATTTATTTTAAGAGCTGTACTGTACATTAATAATAAATAATATCAACTAACTCGCTAGAAAGAGTTTAATTGTTATTTGTATTCAATATTTAATTTCAATCAATCAACTCATAATAATTATAATATTAAAATCAGCAAAAGAATACTTTTTTTACTACTATATTTACTACTATACTTTTTTTTAATTAATGCATAGCATTTAATACTGATATATATGATACTGTCGCTTTCATGATCTAAAAAATATAAATATAGAAATTAAATTTAGTTTATAAAACATTTTTAAACATTTTTAAACAAAAGACACATACTGTAAACAAAGTCTCTAATAAATTCTAAGCAAAATATATCTTAAATAGCTATGTAAACAAGTTGAATAATTACATTCGTAAAAGTTTCGAATGACATATCTGTTATTTTCCCTGCCGTGATTGTAATTTGTCTCTGAGATCTCATTAATATAAATAATATAATCCTTGCCTGAGTTGTTGGCATATCATACCACAGTGCATCATAAGTTGAACTGGTAATTGATTCACTCTTACAGAAAAAAATGAAAGAAATAGTGGCAAATATAGGGCATATTTATATTTAATATGTTGTTCTATTTTTCTAACAGATTATTTTAATATCATTATCACATTCAAAAATAATCTAGTAACGATATGAAACATTGAACGATTTTTATTTCTAATACTTATCACTCCGATATTCAGATAATAAAATGTTTTTATGGTAATAAATGATATGCATGTCTAACTAATGCAAAACTTGTCTGAATAATGTAAACTTTCAAGTCTTTCTTATAACAAATGGAGCATTACATTTAAAAATGTTACAATATATATATACACACATTTATACTTTATAATTAGAAATATTATTACTTAATGAGTTAATCGCTACATAAGTTTATTGATTGGAGCATATTAAAATATTTCAGTCGTATGTGCAATCAAAATAAAGTTTAATTACATTTAATTATAGCGAACATTTAATTACATGTTTAAGTCCCACTAGCCCTCTTTTAATAATATTTTCTTTTGAATTTTTAAAATCATGTTAATTTTTGTTAAAATATTTTCACAATTAAACAATGTTACACATTTTCATTAAAAATATTAAAATAATTACATTTTATTGCAGAACATACTTCGGATAACTTACCTTAAAACTGAGATATTCTCCGATAAAACACATAGCAAAAATTTCAACCGTTACAGCGATATAAACTAAAATAGTTTTCGCTACTATAATTGTACCAGTTTCATTATGAATAGACTATTTTAATAAACAATAAAATAGAAAGTAAATCGTATATAATAATGATTGCAAATATTATAATTACAATACTTACAATAATGATGAAAAATCCTACACAGCAAATAACCAAGGTGTTCCAAACAACTTGTATCAGCGCGATAAAAGAGAAAAGTTTCTCGATATTATCGGAAAATAGAATGACTTTTTCGTGCCTTTCAATTAGTATACTAAATAAAGGCACTGAAGATTTATGAACAAGAACATTTTGAGAAATATTCTTGAATTCTTGACATATTATATCAATTTGTCCACTGGCGTGAAAAACCTAAAATATACTTATAAAGTTCTAACAAAACAGAAAATTGTTGAACATAAAAAAATTTGAATAATAATTTGGATAATAATTTGGATAAACTTTGAATATAATAATATTTAAAGTTTAATATATTTTACGTAATACTCAGGTATTCCATAAAGAGTACAAAAATTTCTTCAAGACATATTCATTCATATATTTTAAAAATATAATAATATATAATATATAATATAAATAAAATATTTTACATACTAGAAGATAAAAAATATAAACAAAAAGCAAATAAAGAAAGAGATATAAATATTGTAAGAAACATATTAATATATATAAAAACAACATATAAGAAAATATATTTACATACACAATATCAAATGTAAAAATGATAAGAATTACCAAAGTAAATATCAATCCATTTATAAGAGCAAGTGTGATTGCATGTAGCATTATATGTAAGCATATTATTACAAAGATACATTCAAACGTTGGCGATTGTTGAACATCGAAGGGAAAGTGCAATTTTATAGGAAGTTGTCGCAAAGTGTTATTGTAACTTTCCATTTGAAATAAAGAAGAAATTACATAGTCGCCTAAGAGGTAAAATGCTGCAGTAATCACATTAATACCCAATGCGGTATGACAGATAAAATGTGATACATTTGCTTTGTCCGTCATTATATTCAAATACAAATCTGTATTAATACATTCACGCCAATCATTATCTATAATAGTCAGGATTTGATGAAGAACTCTGTAACGTGTTATTTTAATACACTTAACGTTTCGAATACGAACTTATATTCTTTCGTGAAGTTTTTTATAGTACTCATATTTCAGTTATGGTTTGTTTGAATATATAATAAGTTATTTTAAGTTAGTTAATAAATATTAAAATCAATAGTGCTGAGAAACGTAATAATTTTTGTTTTTTTAACACATTTGAGCAAAGTAATAACATAGCATGATGTTATATCTTACTGACGATGTATCCATAGGGTAGACAACTTAAATATTGTCATAGTGTATTCTAGACTTGCTATCAGATTTTCAAAAAGATTTGAGAACTCGCTCATCTTCAAATGACGAAATGCATATGAATACTGGAAATATTGAGCAATCAGCAAGGTCAATAGAAAACTCAACCAATAAACGGTTGAATACGGGACACCGGGCCATATGCCTAGACATTGAAGACCGATTTTTAATACCGGACTAACAGTACTTTCGATAATCATTTCGATAATAATTTCGAAAACGCAGGAAACTAAAGATTAACGTCCATAGGTTTGTTCACTCTATAGTTGTGTAAAAAAACTTAAAGTATGATCTTTGTTTCCGCGAACGCATGGTGCGTCCCCACTCAAGAGTACAGATCAATCGCTATTACATGTCGCGTAGTATAATTATAAGTTGAGACAGAACTCATCATTCTTATAAACATCCTATAATTTCTTTTACAATTCGATATTGTTTTACATATTCGATATCTCCATTGAAAAGATATGGTATGAAAAAAGTAACAGAAAAAACTATCTGTTTTACAAAAAATTAAATTTCTTTATTCTTTCACGACTATCGAATTGTAAAAAAAATTATAGAATGTTTATAAGAATGATAAGTTCTGTTCCAACTTATAATTATACTACGCGACATATAATAGCGATTGATCTGTACTCTTGAGTGGGGACGCACCATGGGGATGCGTTCGCGGAAACAAAGATCATACTTTCAGTTTTTTTACACAACTATAGAGTGAACAAACCTATCGATGTTAATCTTTAGTTTCCTACATTTTCGAAATTATTGACAAATAATTATCGAAAGTACTGTTAGTCTGGTATTAAAAAATCGGTCTTCAATGTCTAGGCATATGGCTGAGTATCTCGTATTCAACCGTTTATCCGCTCTGATAATACTATTTCTTCAAAAAAAAATAAGTATCTATCATAATTCTACCAAATTCTACTAACAGGTTACTTGTATTCAACATTTCAGGCTTATAATAATTATCATATGAAATAAGCAAATAAGTACTATATTTTTTTTAATTAATACATAGCATTTAATACTGATATATATGATACTGACGCTTTCATGATCTAAAAAATGTAAATATAGAAATTAAATTCAGTTTATAAAATATTTTTAAACTTAAAGAACATATATTGTAAACAAAGTCTTTGAGGTTTAAGCAAAATATGTGTCTTAATTAAATATAGAAACAACTTGAATAATTACATTGGTAAAAGTTTCGAATGACATATCTATCATTTTCCCTGCCGTGATTGTAAGTCGTTTCTGAGATCTCATTATTACAAATAATATAATCCTTGCCTGAGTTGACGGCATATCATACCATAGTGTATCATAAGTTGAACTGATAATTGAGTCACCCTTACAGAAAAAATGATAGAAATAATGATAAATATAGCATTTATTTACATTTAATATATCTTTCTATTTGTCTGGCAAATCATTCTAATATCATTATTACTTTCAAAATGTAATCTAGTAAGATATTAAATATTGAACATTTCTTATTTCTAATATCTTTCGTTCTGATATTTATATAATAAAAAGCACTGTTATAAGTGATATAAATAAGGTAAACTTTAAAATCCATTTTATAATAAATTTACATTAAAAAATATTAAGTACACACACACACACACACACACACACACACACACACACACACACACACACACACACAACAATATTCTTTTATATTTAGAAATATTATGACTTAACAAATTAATTGTTTTACATAATGTTGTATTGACTGTAGCACATTAAAATATTTAAGTCGCTTTCATATATTGAAAGTAAAGTTTGTACATGTAATTGTATCGAACACTTAATTACATATTTAATTCCTAATTAGCTTTTTTTTAATATTATTATACTATGAATTTTGAAAATTATATTAACTTTCTTAAAATACTTTTATTATTAAACGGTATCACATATTTTTACTATACAGATCATAATGATTATATTATGCTACAGAATAAACTTTGGAATGCTTACCTTAAGACTAAGATATTCTCCGGCAAAACAAATGACAAAAACTTCAGTTGTTAAAGCAATATAAGATAAAATAATTTTCATTATCATAGAAGTACCAGTTTCATTATGAATAGACTAATTTAATAAACAATAAAATACAAAGTAAATCGTATATACAGTATAATAATAATTGCAAATATATTACAATACATACAATTATGATTAAAAATCCTAGGCAGCAAATAACTAATGTGTCCACAACAATTTGCATCAAGGAGATAGAAGAGAAAAGTTTCTCGATATTATAGGAAAATGAAATTATTCTTTTATGTCTTTTAATAAGTACATGAAGTACAGACATTGAAGATTTATGTACAAGAATGTTTTTAGAAATATTTTTTAATTCTTGACATAGTATATCAATTTGTCCACTCGCGTGAAGAACCTAAAATATACTTGTAAAATTCTAACAAAACTGGAAATTATTGAATATAAAAAATATTTGTTAAGAAATATTCGATACTAATAAATATTAAATATAACAATACTAACGTATATAATAAAATCAGATAATAAAATATAAAATTTTACTTTCTACAAAATGGTCAGTTAGTCAACAGAGAATATAAAATTTCTTTAATAAGTGTTAATTTCTATATTATAAGACATCTTATGTAATAGAAAATAAAAAGACAAGAATACAAATAATAAAAATAAATAAGAAAAGACTACAAAAAGTAAAATGCTATAAGAAACATGCATGAAATACACAGATGTAAACACCAAATAGAATTACCAAAGTAAACATTAATCCATTTATAAGAGCCATTATGGATGCATTTATCATTATATGTACAAATATTATTACAAAGATATATTCAAACGTTGGCGATTGTTGAACATCGAAAGGAAATTGTACTTTTATAGGAAATTGCCGTAAAGTATTATTATAATTTTCAGTTAGAAATAAAGAAGAAATTATATAATCGCCAAAGATATAAAATACCGCAGCAATCACATTTAAACTCAACATAATATTACAGATGAAATGTGATACGTTTGCTTTGTTCATCATTATATTCAAATGCAAATCCGTATTAATGCACTCACGCCAATCATTATCTATAATGGCCAAGATTTGATGAAGAATTCTATAACATATTACTTTAATCCATTTAATGTTTCAAACATAAACCTCACGTTTTCTTTCGTGAAATACTTTATAGTACTAATATTCTAGTTTATT